AGAGAGAGAGAGAGAGAGAGAGAGAGAGAGAGAGAGAGAGAGAGAGAGAGAAAGAGAGAGAGAGAAGGGGGATACAGGGATACAGAGAGAGATAGAGATAGAGAGAGAGAGAGAGAGAGAGAGAGAGAGAGAGAGAGAGAGACGCACTTGAAGTCAGAGAGACAGAGACTAGGAAACGCACACATACAGAGAGAAAGACAGACAGACAGATAGACAGGCATACATACCTACAGGGAGAGATAGAGTTAGAGAGAGAGACATGGAGAGATGGAGCGAAAATGAGTAAGTGTGAGAGAGAGAGAGAGAGAGAGAGAGAGAGAGAGAGTAGAGAGAGAGAGAGAGAGAGAGAGAGAGAGAGAGAAAGAGAGAGAAAGCTATGCATGCACTGCACTGCTTCTACGTGTCCGTCTCGCCTGGTCAGTTGATCTAACCAGCCCTCTCGAATCGCGCGGGCCGTGACCTGCTTTGCCTGATTTATTTTGGTAGCCTCGATTATACCCATTACTCACCGAAAATAAAATCATCCGACCACCTCCTTCCTTCAATTCTATAAATAAGCACTTCAATTTTTTTGTTTTTATCCTTCAATGAAAAAGCTGCGAAATACGGGTAATTTTCCAAAACTTCCCATGATGAACTCAAACCACACATAATTTTTCAATAAAGCTGAGTGCAACAAGGTTCTTATCATTTAATAGCTAGTCTGTGATAGTTCAGCCTCCGGGAAGGAAGAACAAAGGAGTTTTACAAGATGTCATGCTATCATTTTGATGCAGTTGGCATAATATCATTATTGGGTCAATCTATAAATTAAAGTAAAATTGGCATTAACACCCCAACTTCAAAACCTTACCTTAAAGGGTTGCGGGCAGGCACAAAATTTGCTTGAATGATGGCACATATATGTAAGCAAATAATGCCACTGTCGGCCCTGAATTAACAGCCCCTCACAATAGCAGATATGAATGTAAACTCAGTGGTCCAGTGAGATAAACTTGTGAAGCAAGGGGATCACCCTGAAAAGAAATTTTTTTTAGAGAAACTGCTCAACTGGCAAACAAAAACAGTTTTAGAAGTCATATGATTTACTAATTTGACATTACAGAAACTCATATAAAAAACAAAGACTTTTCTTAACCTTGTTAGAGGTATTGAGCCCTGCAAAGTTCATACTTGATGCATTCACCGAACCCTTCAAGTGGGGTAAATGGAATGGACACACACACACACACACATAGTCTAAAGTGTTTAGTTTTAGTAAGCTTTACTGCACTTGCAACAATAAGGTCATATAAGTGCCAAAGACTAAAAGTGTTACAGGAGAGTAACAAGCAAAGAAAAGGAGGAGAGATTTAACGATGATAGATGTTTGATAGGAAAGAAGGAGCAAAGCACACCAGAGCAATCGCCAACTGCCTGCACACATAGTGTGTGTTTCGACTTCCACCTTCTGAGCTCCTGGGGCTGACTCACTGAACCCCTAGGCTTCGAAAACACAGGTTAAGAACCACTGTTTTAAGTGGTTGAACACTGGAACATTTTTCTTGCCTTCCTCTTCTGTACCATCTACAAATCAAAACTAGACTTTAATTGTTCGAATTAACACCTCCTCCCTCCCCTTCACAGATGTTTCATAAAAAAAAGTAGTGGGTCTCATAAAATTTAGAGGTGAAAGAAAGGTGACAGAAGAAAGAGAGAGAGAGAAAACTAAGTAGAGTTATGAAAAAGGAAGGGGGAAAGATACAACGTTTAAACAAGAAAGAGGCAAGAGAAGTATTGTGAAAGACAAAGCATAGACGAAAATTAGGAAGAAAACGGACATTATATTCCATGGAGAGGGCCATGCTAAGTAAAAACAGAAGATTCAGAGAGAACTTTAAGAGCCTGAATGCACTATTAATCAAGTAGTCTGGTCCATTTTTTCTTCAGGTCGTAAAAATGAAATTGTAGGTGGAGTCACTGTGCACGGTAGAGGAGAGCTCATTCAGTTTACAATTCAACATTCACATTTTCCCAGTATTCACAGCTATTTGAAGAGTGACAGAGCCGTTAGAATGCCGTGCAATTTTTCGCAGACAATACATTTTCTTGTCAGTTTTCTCAACCCTCTAAAAGATACAGCATTTTATATATTTTTAAAATCATTGAAGCAAACGTATTAACACTTTAAATACACATAATGAGTATGAGACACAGTGATTAGTCATAGTGGATATTGAATTGTGAATGTGGCTGATGGAAATATTCGTGAAAAAAACATTTACACAGATATTCAAAGCACATTAAAAGCGGCTTCACGCTCTGAAGAGTCGATGAAGTTTCGTTTCCTCAAAATCGCAAAGCACCTGTGTACAGCTCACATAACGTTAAAAACAAGCATCAACTCATTGAGGATGCCCATTCTGGTCATTCAATGACCCCCTGAAGACTCACTATTTCACAGCACTTTCACTTTCAAAAAGAAGCATGACTCGTTTATCCTGTCAGTTTGTTTTTCCTTGTTTGAACTTTAAAAAGGTTGGCAACAACAGGCATAGTATGAAATATGCTTTTAATTTGTGTATAGTTTGAAAAACGTGCCATAGCATTGTCCTTGGCCTTCTGCTAATTGGACATTATATTATGTGTCCGCCACATCCCTGTAGAGTTGAAAAACCCAGGTATTAATGTCAAGCAAAAACTTGTCTGAGTGAGATAAAGACAAACAAAGACATAAAAGTTTTGTTTTGTTTGTTTGAGTAAAGAGAAGCACATCGACACAATACTGGTCATTTAGTGCTGGGAAAAAGTAGGATAGACATACAGAAACAACGGAAGGGAAAGTAAAGAAGTAGGACCTACCACTGGCGCCCTCCAACCACCCACCACAGACAGACATAAAAGTGAATTTATATGGGAAAATTTTGATTTGAGATGATGGGTCCCAGTCAGTGTGGGCTAGATTACCGTCGTGGGGTCCCACAGCGAACTTGAAAGAAAACTTGGAAGGCAGGTCACGGTGGTTCTGAACTTGACACCTGTGTGTTGCAAGTCACTTAGATGTGTATTCATTATGTTGTGCTTTGATTCTTGGCAAAATTTCCGTCTATTTTATTCTCAATGACTATTGTAGGCTTTACTGGAAATCTCAAAAATAAAATGTGTTGTTATAATGTATGCATTTCTTCAGTCCGTTATTACAGACACCTATTGAAACAAGAGTGCTTTGATTACAGAGTTTGAAACGAATACTTTCAGGATCAGTTTTATTGACAACATCATTTTTTAGACCATTTTGTCTCGTTACAGGGTTTGACCACTTTATAATTACACTATTTGACCACTTTTTAATTACATTATGAAATCAGACTCAGAGTTGGCCTGTCCCTATTATAGCAATACACAGCAAGTTATAATAGTGCATCCTATGCTATTTCAACTGATTTATTTTATGTAAGCCTGTTAATCTGAATAGAAGCACAGGCAGAAGTGAAAAGTAATCGTCTAGCCTATCTTATAACTGTTGTTGTTATCGATCCAGCAACAGATCCATATACTGTAAATGATATTAATTTTGAAGTTTTTACCAGCTTTATGTCTTGAAAAAAAAACTCATCATGCAAACAGTTTAAAATAATATAATTAATAATCAATTTACACACTTGAATTCTCAAGTCACCTCATTACACAATGTTCTTATTCTTTAAGAATGCATTGTTTTTCCTGTATGTGTCAGCCAGCATTATGTGGCTATTTTTGTAAGATAATTTTATTTCTCATGTTTCTTTCCTGTAATTGTTTTATGGCGCTAGAAACTGATATAAGGTCATATGAGCGGCAAAACACATTAAACATTTCCAGTTGGTAGACAATTTTGAATTTTGCCCGAGTGGCGGCTGAAGCCTACTCTTGTCAATTTTGGACAACCAAGGGATCTTTAACATGCAACTTTCATACGGGACCTCCAAGATTTTTTGCCCTTGTCCGAGAAGGTTAGGTGTAGATCTTTCCTACCATAAGATCAGGGGTGTGGCTGGAAGACAGCAGACTAAGAAGGAGCCAGAAAGAGTCAGGAGCCCAGAGGAGGGGGGCAAAGGGGGTGAGGGGATGGGGGTAGAAAGTGGAGGCTAAGGTAGACGACAGAATAATGCTAGAGAGCAGGAAAGGAGATGAAAGGAGACAATTTTGGAGAAGAAAAATTTCCGCCCTCTAAAGTTGCTGACTGCAGCAGTGGGTGTAATGCATATGGCATAGTAATCTAAACTTATACACTGGTGCTGCTTTAGAAGTCAATTTACCACCATGATGATGTTTCTGGTTAAGTTGCCAGTCTACTGCTGGATTTGTTTGACAACTGTTAGTTGTAGTTGGTGGTCTACCATGCAATATTTTCTTGTCTCATGTATTTTAAACAGGCTTGGAATAGGCGTTGGTCACACTTGAAATTAGAACAGTCTGGTCATTTCGCTGTTCAACTGACTTGTCAATCACTATTATAATATATTTATGAATATTTACCACTACAAAATTCTTCGATCTAAATGACACCACAAAATGAAGTAAAGCATACCAATAGGCCTACCACCTATCCACACATGAAATAATAAGAACCATCATCTCTATGACCTACTAAATGCGTCCAGCACTGTTGTTACCATGGCCAAATATGCGTGTCTTACGCTACGTGTCGTAGTAGTAGACACCAAATTCAATCAAGCATGACTTACGGTAGACTGTCATGATACAGACCGGCGACTAAACCAGCACCAGTATAATGAATAATGCTTCTTATATGTTTTTGTTATATTTATTTACGGAGTGCTTATTGGTCCACAGGGGCATATAAAATTTAAATTGTGAGTTATCTCCTCTCTGTTTGGTCTCCCCCCCCCCCCCCCCCCCACGACAAACGCAGAGATGATAGTTCTATCATATCTATGTGTCATTATATCAATAACCCTCCATAGATCTAGATCTAGATCTAGACTGTACACGAGTGAACACAACACATTAAAAGTATAAGAGAAGCACCCTTCATAGGCAACACGTTGTGTCTGTAGTGAAAAACTGTTTGGAACTGTAGCATTTCTTTATATATATATAAATATTTACTGCTGACATTTGTTGGGCCGATTGAACCGATTGAATATTGTATACGAACAATCTTTGGTAGGCCTATAATATAATTTTAAAGATCTAGATCTATATATCCGAAATTTGCGGGAAAGGATGTCATTTCAGAGTGTTCGGAGAAATAGTGCCCAGCTTTATTTTCCCGAACGTTCTGAGAAATAGTGCCGGCCTTTATTTAAACTAGGCCCAACTGCTTTTACTGTATAACAGGTAACAGGCTATGTTATCAACTGTGGTGTGAACCATGTCATGTAATCATGGATGATAGCTATCATGGATGATTACTCACAGATCTAGAATCTAGAACTCTCAACTAGATATCTCTAGATCCTAGATTAAGAACTAGATCTACTCACTGACCACACTGTCCAGTCAATAATTAGGCATTATTAAATATAAGCTATTTAAATCTTAGTCAAATTAACTTTACCTCCCACTTGCTTCTCAGCTTTTGATTTGGTCTTAAAATTAGTGTACTGTATTTGAGTAGAAGGCAGATAATAACAGGCCTACTCTAGCCTGTACTGCTGGCCACTGAAACTTTTAACTCAATGTCAACATGTCAACAAAAGCAACACAATAAACTGCTGGGCACAGTCTCTACTCTCTGCCATGACTCACCTTATCCCCCGCTATAAATGATGTGCCTAGATCGTGAGTGGCCACATTATTGATTGATATTCGCCAGCGAGACGAGAGGAAGCCAAGATCGCCTGCCTCTATGACTCGATACAATACAGTAGAGAGTGGTGGGCCGGGCGGTAGACTTCACTCACCACACAATATTGTTGCACTTGTTAGCATTATAATGAAGTGCTAGCGTTTGCATTGCAACAATAAGACTGCACGAGAGAACGTACGCATAGCCACTTACCCATAACAAAATATAATAATAAATGTGAAATAAAATCCTTTGAGTGGGTGCTCAACAAACTGACGTTTGTGTCCAGGACTCACAAGCAAAAATAATCAGATGAGATTTTCAGTCTGCTGCTTCCGTTCGCTTATTAGTCACATGAACATTTGTCACGTGATGCAAACAACCATGGAGTTATTTTTGTCCAAATTGATTTCAGTTTTCACATTACTTTATTTTGATCAGAAAAAAGCAATTTTATAAAAACAAAGCATTTTAAGATGCGCTATAGGGTTTCTTACATTTTTTCAATGGATAACGTTTAGCTGTTATTATTTCTTTTTCACTGTTGAGCCAAAATTGCCAATGAACACGTTTCACAGCTAGGGGGCACAATTTCAAAACATCATTTGAGTGGACGTATTGTCTGGATAATCTCCCGTGAGATGAAATGAGACCCTTTTTTTTATTTACCTGTATTTCCTAATTATTTTCGGGGGGTTTTTTTTAACCAGACACCAGGACTGCAGTTGAGACTGGTGGGAGGAAAGATTTTGTTCAATAGACCACTTAATACCAGTACGGAAGACATAAGATTACAGGTGGTGACCGGAGATAGATTGGGGAAAGTCTGCAGAGTTCAGGGAATTTTATCAATCTATATAATGAAGACTGAGGTCTAAACAGAATGAAGCAAGGGAGCGGGGGGGGGGGGGGCTTAGTAGTGGTTTTGAGTGGAGAAAATAGGGGGGGGGGGGGGGGGGGAATAAAGCATGGTAATATCGGATGGAGAAAGGTATGAAGAAAAAGAGGGGGGGGGGCGAGGTGACAGGATGATCGGACCCGACCTGCCGAATTTAATTTTAGATGACAGGTGGTATGAGCGGAATTCCATTGTGTCACTTTTTCTTTTGTTTTATTTTGTTTTATTTTGTTTGAGGGGGGGGATTCGTCTGGAAGCACAATATGAGGTAGGAGAGTGAGCTGGCAATAGGAATTAATTAGGTGCCGGGCCGTGCATTATGACAGTGGTGTCCAATTAAAGTCAAACATGACATGCTCTACACTTGATATAATACTGCATCCAGTTTTATGTATATATATATATATATATATATATATATATATATATATATATATATATATATATATATATATATATATATATATATATATATGTGTGTGTGTGTGTGTGTGTGTGTGTGTGTGTGTGTGTGTGTGTGTGTGTGTGTGTGTGTGTGTGTGTGTGTGTGTGTGTGTGTGTGTGTGTGTGTGTGTGTGTGTGTTTACATTCTTCAACCAGCAGTCGGATTTTCTTCAAGTAGAAAACCTTACTTCAGCCTGCTGTTAAAATAATATAAGCAATGCCAAAATTTTGAATTTTTGAAATTGCAGTTTCTTAAATCTGCGGTTGCACGTTATCAAGAAATTATAGATCTATATTTTTGTCGAAATTAAAAATTCAAATTTTAAAGGAAAAAAACAAACTTAATGTGAGTAAAATAAAACAACAACAACAAAACAACAATTTTTTTTCCAACAACGACAACAAATAAAAGACATCGCGATGGCACAAAGGTTTTTAAAAACGCAGCAACATAATATTAATAACTAGCTTTCCTCGACGATTCTTACGGACGTGTTGAAAGTCGGACGTGCAGAGGAGAGGTGCGGTACGGTATTGTTGGAAGAAAATTGAGAACTATAGCACGAATAATATATATATATATATATATATATATATATATATATATATATACACCTTTGTTTTAGCAAGAGTTTTACTGCATTTTCAACACAGTTACGCCATACAATCGTCGAAGATTTGGTGGGGGTGTTACGTACAATATGAGATTAACAAACACAAAAAAGGAAGAGAATTAATAAGAACGGAATTTTGATAGGAACGAGTTTAAGAAGCAAACCACACAAAAGCACCGGCCAATTACTCTAATTTTAACTCAATTTTTGTCGACAAAGGTTTTGAGAGACAGTGCCTGACAGTGGGCTTCGTTGCTATGCAATACTTATTAACTCTCACGTAGATTATTTTGTTTGGGGACATAGGCAATGGTGGAAAAGGGAAAATAAGGAAATATATCTCTATCAATCATAGAGCAATGCAGTCGGATTCATAATCGAATGGTCATTAGTTCGAACAAATCTTTTCAAGAAACAGATGTTGTATCCTTGGGAAAGGCACTGACGTATTAACACGGATTTTCCCCACTTCACTCAGGTGGGACGTACGTGAATGAGTATCTTGGTTATACCGGCTATAGACGACGAAAGATCTTGTCTGTTTGTTAGGCCTTGATCAAGTGTTTGAACGCGTTACTTGGTACATTGTTTGCTTCCCAGGAAGCCGAGAATGTCTCTGAGTGTTTAATTAAGACCAGTCTTGTCAAGGAGAATATAAATAGAATGTTTCAAGGTCCTTGGGTCTGATCTACTGGGGTAATAATAATAATACATACTATGTAGGAGTAAAGTGCATAGAACATGGTGTAGAGCTGAGCTTGCAAACCAGGGCGATATAATGTACGAGGGGCCATACCAACATTTTTTTTTTACCTTACCATGAAGGAATAAAGGTAGAAAGCTGAAATTTGGTACTAAGCTTAGTCTTTCTTTATGTAGTCGCCTCCCAGAGTTATACATGTTTGCCATCTGTGTATGACCTTGAAAAGACTTTGGGAATAGAGGACCCTCTCTATGTCAGAAAACCAGCCCTCTACCGCTTCTCTGACCTCATCATCACTTTTTAAACCCAAATTGTATCACAGCATAGGGTGGGAAATCAGTTCCATGGCATGTATCTCCGTAAAAATATCATGTAGTTGCTTGCCTTGCAAGAACAAATACTTCATTACTGCACTGCGCTCAATTTTCTCCATTTTTATGTTGAAACAGGAGAACAACATACTCCCATTCATTTACATTGCGCCGGTGGTAAAACCAGTAATCTGAAATTCCCCAAAATTTACCAGCAATCTAGGAAATGATTGTTGGCTTTCACCCCAAATTTCAGCTTTCTACTTTTTTTCCTTCATGGTCGGGTAAAAAACTTTTGGTATATAATGCCCCTCGTATGTATATTGCCATCTGTATTCAATATTCAAGAGCTGTCATTGCAGTAACGTCAGCAGTCAAGGCACGATACTGTACCTGCCTTTTGATGCTGTTTTTTTTGTTTTGTTTTTTGTTTGAACTTTCAAGTACTTTTTCGCCATAACAATGTTTAACAAGCTATCCAATATTAAGCTTAGCAGGCCTCCGTATAAATGTAGCATACTGAACAAACATCTAGCACCCCAAAAATCTGGACACGGGACAAAGACATAGAAACACACACACACACACACACACACACACACACACACACACACACACAAACACACACACAAACACACACACACGCCCCCCTCCCCATGCAGACATAAACACACGACATGCACACGTGAGCGCGCGAGCATACACAATGACATACAACGCAGCAAAAACACAACAAGAGTACAAAATCCTTGCCCTATACTAAGAATGTTTCCTGGTGAAGCAGGTGGTTGGAGGGCGCCACTGTAGGTCCCTTGGCACTTCTTTGTTGCTTTCCCTCTCGGTTTAAAATCAACGTCGCAAATCTACGCCACACTTTGCAACATACAATTTGAAAACACTAATTTTCAATAAGCTTTTGTGATACACAATAAAGGCAAGAAATGTAGTTGATCTGATCGTTAATTTTCTTTTCCTTTTCTTTCAATCAGGCAATCCTTAACCCAATTCTTAGCTCGCATTGTTACCGTTTACACGACCTTTCTATTCAGAGTGACCTTGGAAATTAGTGACCCGTCAGTCTTCAATAAATGCTAATCCTGAATAATGGCGTATACTGCCGGCTGTTGCAAATTTCAGAAACAGTGCGACAAGTGGTCCTGACGCGGTGGAATCCGGCGCTCGTCATTTTGGGGACAAATGCAATTAAATCTACACAGGTTTCAGTTGGACAGTAAGGTGTTAAACCGCAAAAAATCGATATAAATTGCCTGAGCTGATACAATTAATGAGCTCC